TCAATTTTCTTTCTATCCTTCATTTGATCATTTAAAAAGTTTGAGTATATGTTTGAAGTGGTGCACTGAAAGAAAAGAAAGTGATCTGAAGCTCAAGTATAGGTCACTAGTACATTTTACTGCTAGGGAAGTGAGAAGAGCTATTTAGATGAACCCAAAAAGGGTGTAAAAAGCCACATTTCTAGATCTAGAAATGCCAGTCTGATGTATTAGTGATAATTAGGGTTAAAGGGGAAGAAATAAGAGCTAGAGGCTCACAGATATTTTTTTTTTCAGTGAAGAATTAGTTTTCTTGAAGTGGGCCATAGAAGTAAAATGCAAAGTGAAAAAGTTAAAGCAATCTACGTGGCTAACAACAATCATCTTTGCAGACGAGAAACTGTGTGCCTGAATATTTGAACAAAAAATAGGAAGCAGCACCTAAAAAGAATCTCAGAAAAACATGAGTGAAGGGGCTGATGCCCATACTAGGGAAAAATATGCTTCCCAGCATTCCACAGTGGGAGGGGATGGAAGGAAGCAACATAACATTAGTGTCTGCTGATAGAAAAGGTACTTTGGTATAGTCTACCACACAGTGCCCAACTGAGGCCTAATTCAGACTTAATTCAGGCCATTACAGGAATGGAGATAGCATTAAGTGCTTCTAGGTTGCAGTACTTCTGCTATTTATTCCTAGAGTACTACACTTCCTTTATCATTTTGATTGTTGTGGCTTATGTGTTGTCTTTCCTGATAAACTCTAAGGATAGTTTATATGTCATGCTGAATGGCATTTATTAATAATAATAACAACAATAATAACATTCTTTTTATTGCTTAAATCTCCCCAGATTTCAAGGACCTTAACATTTGATATAAACAAGATTCCATCATAAGAATGAAGGGTGGCAGGATTTGGTAGTATATGAGTGTACCAGCCACTGGCTCAAGTTAGGCCAAAAAAACTGTGTAGAGTTCAAGAAGTCACTGTAAATTTTAAAACGAAAGAAAGAACCTAAGGAGAAGCTCAGTCCTAAAAAATGAGCATTAAAGCTTGCCAATGACACATGGCACCCCAAGTTTGGTTAGCAGTAGAAGTAAAATGAGACATTCAGGAGCCCATTAAACATGTGCAGAATACTGGGTCTGTTTAGCACACCCAAGCCTAACTGGGTACTCGATATGAAGGTCTTATATCCTTAAATAGAATCAACTCATGAGCTAGGTTGGAACAGAAATTGCAGGCATAGAGTCAAGGGATCCAACTGTGAGAAGTTGAAAATACGAAGACAGAGGGAAAAAGGCAAATGCTGACCCCACAGATTTATGAACTGGGTAGACAGAAAAATCAGACTATACTAGGGAGAACTTCTGCAGAGGCTATTCTGCAGGCCAAAGGGGAAACAAACAGTGGAAATCAGGAACCAAAGAAACTCTCAGAAGATGTTATTTCTGAAGAAAGAGCAGAAAAACTCGAAGTCAGGAAAATAATTCTAGGGTCTCAGGAAATCATATTTTATATATATTATATTATATTTATATATCTAGTCCATTCAATTGTTCATTCATTTATTCAGAAGGCAGTATGCTACATATTAGAAATACAGTGGAATTATTATTATTTTTTAAAGTCCTTGCCCTAAAGGATCTTAGAGACCATAGGATAAATGACTGTAAGGCTCTCTTTGGCTGAGACTGCTTGGGTACCTAAGGGTTCTCTGGCTCTCTCTAAATCACCAGCATTGAGAGAACAGTCTTAAACCCATGTCACCCAGTAGAGTAAGACTCTCTCCATACTGAAAAATGATCCTCTAAAACATAATCTGATTTCTCTCCTTAATATCCCACAGTGTTCCCTTTTGCCCTTATGATCAAATATAATCCCTTAATACAGTATCATAACATGGCCTTTCCTGCTCCACCAGCCTAATCTCTGAACACCCCTCCTTGCGCTCTATGCTCTGCTTTTAGTTATTAAAAGCGCATGGCTTACTCTTGATTCTGACCTTCCTCTTGTCTGGCACAGTCTTTCCTGTTGTCTGGCACAGTCATTCCTCTTGTCCTTGCTTGGTCTATTCCTACTAAGCTTTCAGCTTAAGCATCACTTCCCTGTTCCCATGTAGGTTAGGTACTCTTGCTATTTGCTCCCACAGTACTAGAATTCCTTTGTCACTCTTACTGTTGCTGTTTATTCGGTTGTCTATTTTTTCTGATAAATTGTAAGGATAGCTACTTGGCACACAATGTATATCTATTTTGCTTACCATTCTATATTCAGCAACCTCAGCACAGTGCATGGCACCAAGATAGAATTTTTAATTGCTAAATGAATGAATCTAAGAAATTTAAATTCTGTGAGGCAGAAACTGTATCAATTTATTAATCATTTCATCTCCAGTACTTCACTCAGAGCTTAGCATAAAGTTGTTGCTTATAATATGTTTGACTGAATAAATAAATGAATGCCATCTTGACCCAGACACTGTCACCTTATTTGCACAAAACCCCTGTAATGATCGGGCACTATGTGTAATACTCTCAGTAGCTTGTTCTGTTTCCTATATGTTATGCCCTAAAATGAAAGGCTCTGGGATTTTAAACCATGGCTGGAACTGGGCTCAACCTGCTGTGTACCTGTTTGGAATCAGTCTGATCATTACACTTTTATAAATAACCAAAAGCTGCCATTTTCTCAGATCTCTGAAAATAGTACTTCTAATTCTCCCTGCCCTCCCAATATTCTCAGCCCTTTCTTCCCCACCTAAGTAGCCACGCTGTTCCTCTAAACTTTGTAAATTGCTCTGGTTACTTATCTGTGAAACATAAAAGGCACGTATGAAATCAAAGGACCTGGCAGACCCTTGACTAGATGGAAAGTGAATGCCAAACACTAAAGGTTATCTTAGGGAAGCAGATATCTGTACATTCATAAATGAAAAAGAAAAAATTAAGGCAGGAAAACAATAAAAATATATCTTTAAGTGGTGACATAAATGATGAATTATTGCATATTCCCTAGGTAGAAAGATAAGATAAACCATGGTCAAGCCTGAAAATTATCCTGAAGGTTAAAAGGATATTTTATCATTATAATTAAGGCTAAATGCCTATAAAGCTTTTTAGAAAATCACACAGTGAAAAAGTTTTCAGTTTTGATGATCAATATACAATATACTCAGTATGAATAATCATGCCAGAAAATTGTAATAATTTATGTAAAACTGCTTTAAATGATATTAATTTCAGTATCAATAATATATTTATTGGGCTTCCCTGGTGGCGCAGTGGTTGAGAGTCCGCCTGCCGATGCAGGGGACACGGGTTCGTGCCCCGGTCCGGGAAGATCCCACATGCCACGGAGCGGCTGGGCCCATGAGCCATGGCCACTGAGCCTGCGCGTCTGGAGCCTGTACCCCGCAACGGGAGAGGCCACAACAGTGAGAGGCCCACGTACCACACACACACACACACACACACACACAAACACACACACACACACACACACAAAATATATATATATATATTTATTATATGCACATAGCATAATTATTAAGCATACTTACACATATAGTGTAATAAAAGCTACCCATTGGCAGCAAATAAAGTTTCTGCCCTTTATAAAAATAATCTAATGCAAATAATACTGATACATATAGTAAGTGATAAATTATCACAGCCATGCAATTATAACATACCAAGGACTTCAGAGCATTTCTGTATTTTTCTAAGAGCACCGATGGACTATTTATTTGTCCTTCCTCTTCTGACTTCTCTATCCTTCCTTCCCTCCATTTTTCTGGCATTTATTGGTAGATTATATCTGGACATATACACAGTAGATAGGAAGATGGGTAAACCCAAGTCCCTGCCTTGTTCTTCTCTACCTGCTAATTTTAAACTCATTTTCAGATCCAGTAGTTTCTTCTTCAATAATTCTACAACTGAGAGGTTGATTATACTGGAAGCCAAATAAACATTCAGATGAGTTCTGGCCCCTTCAAAGGAGTACCATTTGAAGACTGGCAGCATAGAGTAAGAAGAGAGGAAAAGATGAAATTACAGAACAAGGCAAGGACCCCCTAGAGGAAGTGTCTAAAGAGATGAGAGCAGATGAAATCAAGTATACAGCTCTAGGGATGAGGCTTCAACAGCAGAAGGTCAACTACTTTTGTATTAGAACAAAGATGATGAGGGTGGGTTTAGACAAATTTGTAGGTGGGAGGGAAAGGTAGGCATTTTCAAGTGGTCATATTTCATAGCTTGAATTTTCTCTGTAAGGTAAAAAGCAGGGTGTTCTGCTAAGGGAAAAGTTAAAGATGTGGTCAGGTATGTGCACTACTAAAAAAAAAAAAAAAATGAATGAGGATTGCTGTATCTAGAAGGACACTGATCAAGTTACTCCTAATAAGCTGATATGATAAAGAATGTTATTTGTGAAAACAGTGTAACAAGCAGAGGAGGAAGGCAGTAAGACAGTGTAAAACCACACAGGAAAAGTGGTACATTGCGTGCACCAACTGACCTATAACATTTGCTATTCCTTAAAAAAAATAATCACCTTGTCTTTCTCCATCTATATCATTCCTTATTCTGTTCAATTTTCCTTCATTTACCTGACTGGGCCACTCTGAAAAAACTCGATCAATTTGGAAAAAAACAAAACAGAAAAAAGCAGCTCCCTGTAGGGGGGACACACCCTAAAGCAAATTAGTCACAGTTATGAATAAGTTTCAGTTACAATCTATATGATCCATCTATATTAAAATTGTAGATTTTTCTCTAAATTCTTAAAAATTATGAAAAGCCACACTACACAGAGAGAACACAGTCTTTTTGTTTTGTCTTTTTTTAAAGAGTGCTAGGTAAAATCACAGATGACAGAATAAGAAAGGAATATACGGTGCTCTATGAACAAAATCATAATATTTTCACTAGTTGCTAGCAGAATGGTTAACAATATGAGAGTTTATACTACAATCGTCATACAGTCATACAATTACTAAATAATTTCATCTTACCTGTATTGCAAGGGCACGAGCTACAAGACTTCTAAGGTATTGTAAAGGGTCTTCTGGACCTTCCCACTTGCTTTGCCATGTGAGAGGACACTGCAATTTTAAAAGGATCAAAATTAAGTTTACATATACAATATTACATATAAAAGATCTTTTAACAGTAGTGTGATGGGGAAAATATTTTGGCATAATTCACATTATGTGTATCATGAATTCATTTCATTAAGATATGTCTTTTTCTATTTTATATATAATATCAATAATGTATATGTGTCAATCCCAGTGTATGTATAAAATAGACAACTGATGGGAGCATACTGTATAGCACAGGGAACTCTACCTAATGCACTGTGGTAAACTAAATGGGAGGGAAATCCAAAAGGGAGGGGATATCTGTATGTGTGTATGTCTGATTCATTTTGTTGTGCAGTGGAGGCGAACACAACATTGTAAAGCAACCATACTCCATAAAAAAATTAATAAAAATTTTTTTTAAAAAGATATGTCTTTTTCTTTGATCTTATTAAAATTGAATGACAAATAGAGTCAGAATGAATTGACCTGTTTCTCTAAAAGGAAATATTTTTAAGTAAAAATTCTTGAAAGAATAAACAAATGAACATACACCAGTATATAGAAAGTAGCAAACAATGTTTTCTTGAAATGATATGTAATGAAATCAAATTAAATTTCACAAATTCATTTTATAAGTAGTAAAGACAAAAAACAACTAGTCTTGTGTCCCTACAGAATTACAGAAATTTTATCTCCCAAACCACACCAGATATATAACAAAAAGAGAATAAAACAGAAAATACTTTAAATTAAAGAAAGAAATACAACCTTTCTAAAAAAGTTACCTTTTTAATATCTGACCTTCTTTTAACTGACATTCTCCATTAATACATTCATTATAATATTCCTTTTCTGTGAGAGTTTTCTGGATTTTTCAAATATTATGTAACTATCATTCAAACTTAATACTTATTTTTCTCCAGTGGAATAATGAGAGAGCATCAATTTCTTAACCCAAGACACTGTCTGATTACATAGCTGAGAAACTACTCCAGGCTAGAGTATATCAACAATGTATGGAAAATGGAAATTGTAAGATAACAAACCTTACAGTGAATAAAAGACCTTAGACAACATCTAGTTCAATTACTCTAGATGAATGAAGTAAGCCTTCTTAGGAATATGGTAGCTAAGTGCTGGAGCTATGCTGTGAACTGAAACAGGTGTGATGACTTTAAAACATGACCCCTAAATCCTTTGACAATTCTGTGGAGACTTGAAGTCTGCTCTTCTTCCTAAATAAATGTCCTGTGAATATAGCAGAAGTGATGTGGTGCCAGTTTCCAGGTCCAGGTCTTAAGAAATTGGTTGCTTGTATTTCCTGTCTTTTGTGACTCTTGATCTTGGAACCCATCCAGCATATTGTGAAGTCCAATTTTTGGAGAGGCCCACGTGGAGATGAACTGAGGCTCCCAGCTCTCAGGCAGCACTGACTTGCCAGCCACATGAGTGAGCGGAGTGGAAGAGATAAGCTTTCTCTACCAAGTCTACCCAAATTTCAGATCTGTAAGCTTAAAATAAAATGATTTTTTAAAAATTATTATGTTTTAACCTGGTAAGTTTTGGTGGGATTTGTTATACAGCAAGACTTAACTGATACAGTTCTTTGGTATCCAGAAGCAGGGTTCTACCTTAACAAAAACCTAAAACATATGGCACTAGATTTGAGACTGGGTGGTGGGCTGAAGCTGCAAGAACCTTCAAAAGAATGTAAGTGAAAACATAAAGGGCTTCTAAGAGAACAGTGGAGGTCTAAGGAACTTTGAAGACTTAAAGGAAAGGGAGGAAACAATCTCAGACAGACAAAAGTACTCTTGGGACCTTAAGGGCATGCTTTGCAGATCCTTTCTGTTAAACAATAAGCCTTCAATGAATCTTAAGGGTGTTGTCCCACAGCCAACACACAAGAAGCCTAAGGTAGAGAAAAAGGCTTATCACAAGATTTATAGCCATAGTTTTTGTCTAATGTTGTGAATCTCAATGAGATTCAAAGCAAACTCACAATCTTAGTATATTGTTCTGGTGTAAGCTTCATCTGTTTGGGATTAATGGGGAAAAGAGGGCACAATTAAAAGAGAACTTTGGACCCCAGAATCCCTATGGGTGGGAAGCAGGTTGAGAAAACCACTCAGCTTCAAACATGGCTAAATCTTATTGAAATGTATGGATAATTAAGAGACGAGAATCAACGACTCAGAGGGCAAAACCAAGAGCCATGGATAATTATTCCCCAGGGAACAATATGGAATCCTAATAAAGGAACTGAAAACATAAGCTTGCTTAGATTTCAGAATTGCTAAGGACACGTGAGCCTCCCATTTCCTCATTTTTTGAGTGGGAATGTCTATTGCAGTTACCTGTCCTACCATTTTATATTGGGTTTGTAGGGGACAATAACTTATCTCTACACATCATACGTCTTTAGTTGAAAACCATGCTTGAGAAACTGTTTTTGAAGAACCAAACCCAAGAAGCCTCACCCATACTTCCACCTGATTTTGATGACAACATCCAGCCTGAGGCTGTAAAGAATGAGACATCTGGGGAAACTTGGAAGGAGATGACTGAATTTTACATGTGGGAGAAATGCAAATAATTTGTGCCCAAAGGGCAGACTGCAGCAGCTTCAAAACATGGTCCCAAAATTACTTGATACTCTTCCCATTGAGAGTTGAGGTCTATGTCCACCCTACCCCTTCACAACCCAACCAACAGAATAAGGGAGAAGTGACGCTTTATCAGTTTTCAGATCTAGGTCTTAACAAATTCACAGCTTTAATTTCCTCTTTCTTGGGATATACACTTTTAGAACCAAGATACCATGTTGTGAAGAAGCCAAGTAGTCCATATAGAGAGGCCCATGTGGAGACATCTAGAGAGCAACCAAGGCCTCTAGCCATCAGTCCCAATAAACTACCAGCCAATAATCAGCACCACCTAGCCAGCCCCGTGACTGAGCGTCCATTAAGTAGACCCTCCTGTTCTAAGCTGAACTGACTTAGCTGGTGTCACACGAAGCAAAGACAAGCCTTCCCCACCAGACCCTGCCCAAACCACATACTCATGAGCTAAATAAATGACTGTTCTTGTTTTCAGCCATTAAGTTTCAGGGTAGTTTATTATGTAGCAATAGATAGCTGATAGGTCAGGTTTTCACATTCTAAGTTTTATGCTTTTCCTGTTGTAGAAAGATAGGTCCTTTATATAGTGTTTCATTACATAAAGTAAGTTACTGTGGTAGGCAACCTTTAAGGTGCTCCCAGTGACCCCTGCCACTTGGCATTCATATTCATCCTTGTGAAATTCCCTCACCTTGAGCATGAACTGGTTTTAGGGACTTGCTTCTAAGGAAAGAATATGGCAAAAGTGATGAGAAGCCACTTCTGAGAGTAGGGTACAAATATTGTGACTTCTGTCTAGCTCACTTTCTCTTCATCTCTTCCTTGTTCACTCTGTGTGAAAAAGTTGCATACTGTGGGTTGCTTTATGGAGATGCCCATGTAGCAAGGAATTGATATGTCCAGTCAACAATAAGTGAGGACCTGAGGGCTGCCAAGAGCCATCCGATAAGTGCTCTGAGAGGCTGCAGTAATTGCAGCCCTGGTGACACCTGACCGCAGACTTGTGGGAGACCCTAAGACAGAACACCCAGCTAAGCTACCCCCAGATCCCGACTCACAGAAACTAATGTGATAACTTTTCATTGTTTTGTGTCACTAAATTCTAGGGCAATTTATTACACAGCAATAGATTAACTAAGAGAGCTATCAATATTAGTGTCAGATGTAATACTTTCATTCAATACATATTCAAGTCCTTATTGTCCATCCATTCAGCAATTACTGACAGACTATAATGTGAAGGCATTATAAGGTCCTGGCTATCATGGAGCTTACATTTTACTGGGGGATAAAGGCAATATACTTATTTCTAAATATATTATAAGAAAAAGACTACACAGTGCTAAATCCTATGTAGAGAATTACAACATGATATGTGATATGACCGAAGTAATATGAAATGATAGTGATATGATAGAAGGTTATGAGGAATAACATCTTCACCCTAAAGAGCATTAGAAACCAGTAAAGGAGATACAGAGCTAATGTCCCTGATGGTGTTTTAAGAATGACTTATATAGCATGTTTCTGGAGCTAAGAGGAAAACAATGATTTAATCAAAGAAGTCTTAGTAAAGGAAGTATCTGTGAAGCTTTGAAAGTTGTGTTGAATTTTGACAAAGGTAGACATAACTGGAGGGGACTTTTTAAGCTAACATTTATGTGTTAGTAACTGTGCTGAGTGCTGGATATGTACCGGAAGCAGGTACTACTGTAATTTCCATTTCACAGAGGAGAAAATGGAGACACAAAGAGAACAGCATATCCAAAATCACAGAGCTGGAAAATGGCAAGTCCAAGATGTGAACCCAGGTAACCTAACTCTAGAGTCTGTCAGCATTAATTCTGCTTCCAACGTATTTTACATTTCTATAATGTAATTTCTATATTACACCATTTGAGATTTGTCAACTGAAAAAAAATACACAATGTGAGAGTTGTGCATTAAGTTTTACTTGGGGCAAAGTGAGGACTATAGCCCGGGAGACAGCATTTCAGATAGTTCTGAGAAACTACTCCAAAGAGGTAGGAGGGAAGGTCAGTATATGTGTGATTTTGATGAAGGGGGAGTACATGTAATCAAGCACATATTTTTTGCAGAAGGTTGCTGCTAGTTTCGTGAAGATTCAACATGACAATTACGTATTGGGAATTAAAGTTATAATTATGGGGAAACTAAGGCTTAGAGTAGGTTTATTTAACTAAACTTTTTTTTTAATCTAAATGGTAGAGAACTTGAACCCAGGTCTAACTCTAAATGTAAACTTTTTGTTATCCCATGCTTTTCATGAAAGATGTCATAAAAGCAAAACAGGATACAAGCAGATTTCCTAATTCACTCTTTTTCAAGCATCAATTAATTAACTGACAACTCAGCAATAACCTGTTAAATAGCTGC